GAAGAGGATAGAACATGAGCGAGTGAATGCAGCTTCTGTAGGGCCAAGGCATTTATATAAGATTTTTTTAGCATCAGCATGAACATGTTGGGAAAAGAGATAGAATAAGCCACTTCTGTAACCTATTGGCATTCCCATTACCAGATCTTGACTTTGGAAGTCATGCCAAAACAAAAGCATCAACAATAAAACAACAATGTTGATTAACATCTTATTCTGGAGGAAGAAAAGAGGAAGAGGATTGACTAGGGATTCTAAAGAACATTTGGGTTTGTTCTTATTTACCCATTTGTCTCCACTCAGTATGCACTTGATTTTTCCACTGCTAAATGAGTTGTTGAAGGCACAAATCTTTGGTACCAGAGAGATCTGTTGCACCTGGTGGTTGACCTAATTTTGAAAAACAGGTAGAATTTTACAGGCAGAGCAGGGCTGCCTGAAGGTTGGGCAGTCTCACTTGTACAGGAGACTCGGGAGCTGGCAGAAACTAAGGAGCCATCAGAGCTGGAGGGCTACTGGAAAAGATACTCTCACGGTGGTGTGCTTTTGGTAGAACCTAAAATATTGGCACCAGTGAGCCTCACTTAACTATACTCTGTCTCTGTTCCCTGTACTTATGGCAGTCATATGAACATCCTCCTGTGCATGGCTTCCCTCTGATCCCTCCTTTGTAGCCCTGCTTTATAAATCTTCAGATAAGTGTTCGCTCTTGTAGCTGGCTGACTAGGTTCTGATGGCATGATCTTCCACGGGAAAATACACGGCTGAAAATGAAGGTTTTTACAGAAATACACCTACTTGTAACCAAAACATTTCCACAGACAAACTAAAGCTTTGCCCCGAGCGCCTTCATGATACTGGAATATGTTATCCTTTTCAGAAAATAAAGCTTTATAGTTTTTCATTTTGAAATGGTTTTTCACTTCACTGTCTTGCATTTTGTAGGGGAAAACAGACTATCAAACAGAAACCAGCTAAACACTGTGATGAACTATATCAGCTTTAACAAAATAAAATATTACAACTCATTCTGAATAACTTTTAGTAAAAAGAATAGTTTCACTGATGATTTTTATTTTACCTAATTTCATAGTGGAAAAAACATTAGATTGCTGGAACACTTCATAAAATAGAAAATGTGGTTCCCACTTGCCTCCACTAATGAGACTTAAGCTATTTTAGTGCTGGTATATAAAGAAGTATCCTTAGCTGAGGTGATAGACTGGTGGGTGAATTCTGTGTCCGTCTCAGCCTCGTTCCTACCTGCATCTTTCTTAGAGGCAATCCCTGTTGTTGCAGTTTTGGTCTCGTCTGTATCAAGCTAAGACCATTGGACAGGGAAGGGAGTAAGGACCATACCTTAGATTAAGACTTTGCAATTATAGCTAGTTTCACATCTAGATTTCAAGATGGGGAGCAAAAACTCAAGATGTGAAGAAAAACAGGACAACCACCTTAAGAAGTTAGATTATCAGCTGAGATCCCTGGCAACATTCTGCAGTGGAAACCTAGAAATCTCACTAGAAATACAATTCTCATGAAATTTCACCCAGTCTCATCTCATAAAGGAAAACAGCAGGCAAGCAACTAACTCTTGAGATTAGCACCCTTCAGAATCAACACCTAGCGTGGGAGATAAAATCTGGACAGATAAAGCCTTACCTTGCTTTGGATGTAAATTTCTACTTCTTCATCTGTGAATGGTTTCATGGCAAGATTGTCTTCGCTGTTCTCTAAAGTGTGAATTCACTCCTCACTCATTCGCCTGGCTCTGGAAGTAGAGGGACATTCAGAGCTTGCTGCTCAGAGCCTTCTTGCCCTGTGAAGCTCACGTCACTTAATTCCTCTGTGAATGAAGAAGAGGAGAGAAAAGCAAGGAAATATGCCTATTTTCTTCTGGTTGGAGTTATAGTGGTGACTTCCAGCTGCCTAGGAAAACTAGGTCCAAATATTATTTGTTAAGCTCAATCATTATTATTCTTATTATCACTACTTTTAAATGCTGGGACTTACAGGAACTTACAAAAATAGCCCAGTTACTGTTTTGTCTCTGGGCAGATCTAGAAGCGTGTTTCAGAGTCACTACGCTCGTGCGCAGCATTATTATTCTGTGTGCCACAAGTACTTCCCTGCTCTCTCTAGCCTTTTACTAAACCATTTGTTAAATACTCAGCTACCCCTTGTTGACTTCAATCCACCCACTTTCCTTTTGAAACCGCATGGGTATTTTTACACTCAGATCACTTATTTGGGTTGCAGTCTGCAGTCTCTGCTCCTGTCTCCTTATATCTCCTCTCTCTCTCCAACTGTATTGACAGTAAATATCTTGCAGCCTGTCCCCTCCTGTAGTTTGCTTTGCTCCCTTTACAGTAAACAGACAGAAAACTGTCGCTAGTTAGCTGCCAGCAGCTCAGCTAACAACCCCACATGCATCATTCAGAGGGAAAAACAATTGATCAGGCCTCATTGATCCAACGAGGGTTGGTGGATTTTAGAAGAAAGGATACATCAGCACATGGAAAGGAGTGACAGAGTATAGAGACGATATTCTATACTGCAAAGCAGCCCTTGCTAGGGACATGCCATATTTTAGTAAATAGGCACATGCCATATTTTAGTAAAATCATTATTTCCCCTTGGAAGTTGAACTCACTGATATCCCTTGACTGATTCATTAGCTCTACAGCAGCTGAAAAAAACAGCACTTGGGTAGGCACTGGGTGCTATCTCAGAGCAGGCTCTTTGCTGCTGGTCATTCTTTATGACTGTTGTTCCTTATTAATAGTGAAATGCTACCTACATCAATGGTGCACCAGTACCTGCAGGACATCCGATCCCCCAGAATCTACAAATCAAACCTTTCTCCGTGTCTCCCAGGGCATCTTCCATTGTCTTTTTCCTGAGAGATTTGGTGACAGGTTCACAAAGACTTGTAGGGATTTCCTTCCAACCACCTTCCACGGGAGTTGGACACTGAAAAAGATTAGGCCTCCAATTTTCAGGGTCCCTACCCCATCCTTGTTCACTTCACGACTTACCTTCCACCTTATCTTTCACCTGAACATTTAGCAGCGTACGTGACCTTTGCTGGGGAAGCCAGGCTAGTGGCAGGATCTGAGAGACAGTGCATGGAACAGTAGATTAGGAAGGATTTGTAAAGCCAGGTTGCATGGGATTAACCCCAAATAGAGTGTGCAAGGGAGGAGAAGGAGCCTTTTAAGTGGTCAAGCTCAGTTAAAAGTATGCCCTTATTACATTAATTCCCATGCGCCCCCTCAGGCTGCTAGATTTACATACAGAAGTCAAGTTCCTTAATGTTTCTGGTACCATACACTACTTTAAAACCCAGAACCTCAGATGAGTGTTAGGAAGCGGGGAGAGGTTAAGATTCTCAGTTTCTTGCACCTATATGGTCTCTTCTTCTGACAGCTGTCCAAAGCCTCAGGTGCTGGCAGACACATGAAGAAGCAGCTCTGGTCATTTTGCTTGTACACAGTAAGATACTTGATCTTTATCATCCTTTTCCATTGGGAAACATATCTCCAGGAGGGTCTGGATGGTCCCAGCTCCCCTTCCCATAGTGAAGGAGGATGGCATTAGGTCTTGGGCAAGGTTTGTTTCGTTTTTTTTAATGTCCAAGCATATTTAAATCCAAGTCCAAATTTATGTTCAAATCCAAGGACCTGAGCAACAGTCCCACAGTCCCTCCCTGCTCCTGCTATCTCATGAGAGTAAATAACGTTCCCTTAAGATCATTGCAAAAGAAGAGAACGGGGAGAAGGCTGAGAAAAAAGAAACATGAAAGACAGTATCAAAGATAGTATCAATAGCAGGTTCTTCTCAACTCTGAGCACTCCTTGCTCCAGCCATAAGAAACTGCTACTTCATAATTTGTTCAGCTCTAAATAAATAAATAAATAGAAAGAAAGACAGACAGACAGACAGACAGACAGTCTGTTACAAGAACTGGCTGCAGAAGATTGTAGCAGATGGCAGCTGAATAACCTGCACTGAGTCCCTGTGGATTTTATCATGCTACTCCTAGGATCAGAAGATTACTGTTTGACAGACAGAAAATACTACATCCAGCAAAGGCCCTTACACCAACAGCAAAATACAGTACAAATTAGAATGGCAAAAGCTGCTACTGCAAAGGGAAAAGCAGCTTGGTGTTACGGGAGACAGCACCCCATCTTGACCTCACTGAGGAATAAACACATCACAAGGGCCTTCATCTGTTACATGAGCACCACATAGCACAAAACACAGGAGAAAAGAAGAGGAAGACCGCCACGTGGGAAGGGAATATTAAGGTAGGAAAAAAACTGTATCAGGAGAAAGGGAGAAAGGACAGTGCAGAGAGAGAAACTTCTGCAGAGATTAAAGGGCATAGACCCAAAGCATGAAGAAGCCAAGCTTCTCCAGTATCATTTGCAGAACCATTTCCAGGGTCACTGCACTGAAACCTTCATCTATCTTCAGTCAGCAATCATGGCTTTTTCAGTTCGCCCCACTCAAGGCTCAGGATATCCAGGATTTTTTTCCATTAACCACTAAAACTGCAAGAACAAACCCATGCTCCAGGTCCTCCTCAGGGAGCTTCTCTCCTGACGGTGCTTATGCAAGAAAACGGTAGGAAACTACGTAGGAAAATTAGTCAACTATATTACATCCCTCCTTTGTTTTATTTCAGTGCGTCAGTGCCCAGCTCATAGTACCTCTAATGGAGTTTAATTTGTGACTACTTTCCTTTGTACCTAGTGAAGTCTGAGGATTTATTTAGTTTTCTCAGTTGCTCACTGGTATTCTTCAAAGCGGGTTTAAGGATTTCCTATTACCTCCAACTTCACTGAATCTGTGATATTTCATCTTCATTCTTGTCTTGGGCAATATCCAGAACTGAATATGATTGTGGATCTGGGAAATCCACAGAAAAATATTCTGTGAATACATACCTTGAACAGTGTTAGATTCACTCTTGTATCTCCTGAAACTGCAAATTACTGATGCTTTCCATGCTTGTCTGATTTTCCTCTTTTCACTGTTTAGTTTCATAAATATGACAAATATGCCTCAAACCTACAATCAAATATCATCTGAACTCTGAACTGCACAACAAAAAGCCATCAACATCATGTAAATAATAGCAGAAGTATCAGCTGTACGGGGAAGTCCAATACTGTGGCATTTTCTGTTTGACAGCTATCTGGAAAAACCACTCATATGGAACAGTAAGCACGTATTAAAAAGCCTCTCCTAAATCATACAAATGAACCAGTCCAATGTACCACTTGTGGCTCACAGAGGATCTGCAGGGTAACAAATAAGCCCAGTTGAAGATGCTGCCTTCCAGATGAAATACAACTCTTAATTTGCAGTTGCTAATGATGCCTCATCACTTTTTGCTCTAATTACCAGAAGCATTAAGTCTAAGGCTATTAAGGCACTGGCTGAAGCTGTACTTGGCGCATGAGAGACTACCAAAACAAATCAGTCCAGTAGATCTAATAATCCCTGACAGTCCTCTTGCTTTCTTAAACTGCTGCCCCATTTCTCCCCATTAGTGGATTAAGTGACTGTACAAAATAAGTAAGTGTAGCTTGGATCCTCTATAACATTTATGCTCTAATGGTTTTTAGCAGTGACGCTTCGGTATTGTTCAGAGTCACCATTCAGAGGACACTAGCATAACATAATCAGGGCTTTCTGGGGCACAAGTTCTGTGAGTTTGTTTTTTCACTTTGTCTTTTAACAAATAGATATGGCAAAGAGGATGTTTCAATGACAAAAGCCTGGGATGGACTAGAGGGGAAGTGCTGCTAATTCACTGTGACAGATCAGAATCACGCGTGGATGCCAAATTGAAATGCTCTACTCATTCCTGAACCTCACTGATCGATACTTGGCGGGCTCAAAAATGCCTGCACTGCTTGTTCTCATTGCCACACAGTCTCACACTAGCCTTGGGCCTGCAGTTCACATCAAGTAAATAAAAGGTTTATAACCTTTCCAAACTAAGCAAACCATTGACTGCATTGGATCAGGTCCAGTGGTTTATCAAGACTGGCATCTTTTCTCCATTCACTGGCCAGAACAGACATGTCAGAAAAAAAGCAACTAGCTTTTGCTGGAAAAGGAGTTATCTCAACTTGGGAAGAGTTTTGAAATTCCCATCAAAATAATTTACAACCTGAATCTTTTCAGGCAGCAATTTGGCACTTTCAGAGAAAGTATTCGCTCCAGGATCGCTAGCAGAGGATGCAGGAAATTCTGAAAACTAACTGAGATTATGATGCTGTTGCCCACCACTGACCAGCCTCAACTGGCAAATTCACAAGAATCCAGTCAGTTGTGCAGCTGCCGTTATGAAGCAGGCCACAGAGTAGCAAACATAAAACATATACCAGTGCTTCCTAGCACTTATTGCTAAGGTCTTTGGCACCCAGTGTGGTGAGCTACTCAAGAAGCCTAGAATTTTCCAAGTCCATAATGGTCAGTGCAGTGGATGGCACAGGGGCCAGGAACCTAGGAGTCTTGGCAGCATCAGCTCTGAGGCTCCCAGGTCACTCGCCTGACATGCTGAGCAGGAAAATCGACATTTTAAATTCTAAACCCATTTGCAGTCCTCTGGAAGTTTATTGAAACAGGGCAAGTTTGGTGCATCAGCAAGATTTAAACCAAATATTTCACCAGACTGTTTCCAAGCATCTGCAAATGATATTTTTCTCTATCACTGCTTTTTCTCTTAACTACACATTCATCAAGAGCATATATGGGAGAGGTAAGAGTCTTCACAAGGTTCTGGGTCCTTGTGGCTCTGGAGTGCAATAGACCCAGAGCCACTGAGATAAATATTAATATTACTATCAATTAAGTTATTTGGTGCTTTAAAATTTCAGTTACCTTGTATGGGCCGATCTACTGTAAAAGGTGTCAGACTAAACTTCTTGGCTTGTGCCATCTCACACACACAGCCAATAGATATCAAACATACAGCTAATCAGTAGTCCCAATCAGACCCCTAATCAGATACTGAATTGCGTTTTGAGGAATGTGAAACACCTAACAAAAACACAAAGAGATATTTTAATTGATTGACAAGGGACATGTGAAGTCTCAGCAGCGTTCAATACTAGAGAATTACTACAGATAATTCCCCTTATTCTTGGCTAGCACCAACCAAGAGGCTGAAGTTGATGCAGATTTCTAAACACTTACATAGTAGGGCATGTTTAAAACCCCATGTTTAAGCTCAAAGGAGGGAAAGAAAAAACAACACTGTTCATGCAATTGCTTTGGGCAGTACGGGGTCAGGTGTTTCTTTCTTGTGGGATGCCAAGGGCTGCTACCCCAAAGGGATAACAGCAAGAGAAGGGAGGCATGGCAGATGGTAAGCAGAGCATGGTACATTTTAGTTAATACTCAGCAGAGCAGAGTAACAGGCCAAGCAGGAGATTACACAGGAAGACTCCTCTAGGTTCACATGCACCCAGAGGCACAGCTTTCTATGACTTCTTTTTTGTTATCATCTCCAGCATCATTAACAGTGAAGTCTCTTCAGAGCTTCACCTGGATTTATGGGTGCTTAGCCTGAAGGGGCAGGAAGTAGTGTTACTGGGGAAATACAAGCTGTTAAT